TTATGACTACTGCATATTCCACGGGGCTGGGGAGGGCAGAAATGAGCAAATGATTGGCCTTTTTTGCTCAAATTTGCCCCCCCCAAGCCTCCTAAAGGCTATGCATGCCCTTTTTTTGACAAAAAATGGGCTTGTTTTTGTGAAAAATGGGCCAATTTTTGCTCGTTTTTGCCCCACCCCCAGGAGCACTCTACAAGCTTGCTAAGGGCTATTTATGCCCTTATTTGGAAAAAAACCCCAGGCCTGTTTTTGCGGGAAACAGGCTGTTTTTGGGAGGTCTGCAGAGTGCAAAAACTTTTTTTTATTTTGCCTCTTCAAAATCTTGGTGCGTCTTGTACTCCAGTGCATCTTATACTCTGAAAAATACAGTATATTTTTATTAATTTATTTACAAAATGTATTAGCCGTTTGTAATCATATGCACACACATATAGTACTGTGCAAAAATGTTAAAGAAATGTGTAAAAATGCTTTAAATTAAGAATGCTTTAAAAAGTAGTAGTATTAATAGTTATTTTTATCAATTAACAAAATGGAAAGTAAATGAACAGAAGAGAAATCCAAATCAATTCAATATTTAGTAGTAGAGTTTTACTGTTCCTCACCCAGTTTTAAGCCTACCACACAGCTGTTTCTCTTTTGTGTTTCAATCTACATATGAAATTGATGTTATTAGCTCCTGCTTGGTGTAATTGGTTAATCACACATCTAACTCTAATCCTACAAAATCCCTGACTTTGTGCAAGTATAAGAATTGATGCTCTTTTGAAAGCAAAGGGTGGTCATATCAAATATTGATTTGCTTTGGATTTATCTTCTGTTCATTTATTTGCCATTTTGTTAATTGAAAACAATAAACTATTATTGTTACAATAAACTATTATCTATTTCTCAAACCATTCTTAATGTACAGCATGTTTGCACAATTACCTAACACTTTTGTACAGTACTCTGTAACACATGTTAATGCCAACTGTTAAAATTCAAATACAGAAAGAGAGGACAGCAGCAGAATGGGGTGGGGGAAGGTGAGATCTGTTTTTACTCAATCAACCATCTCCACTGAGGTGCTACCCCTCCCTCATTGCCCCAAGCTAACTGGGAGAGCCAGGTCTTTAGGTCCTTACAAAAGGTCAGGAGGGTTTAGGCTGATCTCACTCCGGAGGATGGGGGTGCAAAATGTTTAGAGGGCAACAGCAGAGAAGATTCTTATCATGGACTCTGCCACCCGGAATAATCAGTTCGGGCAGGACCCACAGCAGGCCTCCTCTGTTGGCAAGGTTGGGACAGGCCAATCCTAGTGGAATGAGATGGTTCTGCAAGTAGTGTCATTTATTAAAAAAATTTTTTTTCATTTATAATTTGTATATGCAGTTATATTACAGAGTAATTTCAAAACCAACCATACTCAGTGAATATTTCTATTGTAGGAAACTGTAGAAGAATTTTTTAAACATCCTTCTGTGAGAGATGACTCAGATCTTGAGGGAAGAACTTCTTTTATGTGGGCAGCTGGCAAAGGTAGTGATGATGTCATCCAGACAATGTTAAAACTAAAACTGGTCACCGATATCAACATGGCAGATAAATATGGTGGCACAGGTAAAAAAATGTTTATATATGCATGTGTGTATGTGTGCATATGTATGTATGTAGCTAAGATTTATGATTTACAATTATTATTTACGAACATAAGTTACATATGCTAGTTTCTCAATTGACTGAGGAAGATAATAGTTTACGCAGTTGTTTCCTAAAGAATATAACTGCATAACTAGTATTTGAGATTAATTCAAAAGGACAGAATAGTTGCTATAGAGTATCTAGGCCAGTGGTTCTTAACCTGTGGGTCGGGGCCCTTTTGGGGGTCGAACGACCTTTTCATAGGGGTCGCCTAAGACCATCAGAAAACACATTTTCAAAAAAATACAGAAAACAGAAAATAATTTTATGGTTGGCGGTTACCACAACATGAGAAACTGTATTAAAGGGTCACAGCATTAGGAAGGTTGAGACCCATTGATCTAGGCTCTATTGTTCTTGTAATTACGTTTTACACATTAGATTAATTTATTCAATTGTTTGTTTAATTTTTAATGTATTAATTTTCCAAAGACTCATCATGTATGACCCATGAGTAGAGAATCCAAGGAATGAAGTTAGTGTTTCTGTATTGTAAGCAATTGCTCATTTCTGTTAAGTCATTAGCTTAGCATTTATCAGATATACTTAATAGGATTTTTAAGTACACCAACAAATTCCCTGGGAATATATATCTTTTACAATCTTAAATATGTAACAATTAAAAATTGTCCAGAATATTTGTACACTGTCTTCTTTAACTTTTTCTCACTTTCTAGAAAACAACTTTTTTAAGAATCACACAAAAATAATTTGTGTTTAATTTAATACTCCTTAATGTATTCACTAAATATAGTGTTACCATGTACTAGGATCAAAACTCTGATAAGGAAAGTTGATTGCTTTATGTCAAATTGTGTTAACTTTTTCATTTCTAAATCCTTTTCTTTAATATACATTAATGTTTCCTAAATCTATAAATTACCTGAGTAGAAAAAAATGGGAAAAATTGTTTTTATGATACACAAACCTATTACCCAAACACAAAATTTAAGTCAGTTTAAATTGACTTCAAATGTTTTGTTTATATTTGATAAAAAGGACTTTTTGTTAAGCTGTTCTTAGTAATGGAGGAAAAAGCTTGGGAAGTATTGAGTATAATATTATGCATATGTGTGATGCTATTTCTTTCAAGATTAAGCAGTATTATACAAAATGCAAAAAAAGAAATGCTAATAATGTGGAAAAGAATTAAAGGCAGAAGATTTTGAAACTAATTACATCTAATTTGTATCAACACTATTCATGATATCTTTCTATATTTGCAAATCATTCTTGCCTCTTAAAAGAACTAAAGCTGAGAAGTTGGCAAGCTGAAAGTCTCAGGCCACACAAAACCATTATACAAACAAAGAGTAGATGCTTTCTACTTTCCAGGCTGGGGGGAAGAAAAGCTGAAAAGTCTGCTACCAGAACATGATAGAAATTTAAAACATGAAGCCAAAATATCCATCCATCGATCGATCGATCTCCATATACATGGATGTTGATTTCTTTATTGGATTCCTGTGTTCTGTAGTAGCTGATCTTCTCCGTAAATACAGTATGACCATGTATGTATCATCTTACCATCCTGAGTTGTCAAAAGCTCATTTTTATCTTTACTTTTAGCTAGTTATTGACAGGAAAGTCTTGAATCAAATTGTGCCTGTATTAAAACTGACACATCCACCATCGATTAATAAATTATTATTAATTAATTAATCAGTGTAAAGAATAAATTTGACATATTTTCCTTTTTTAGAGTATCTCATCAATTCCACCCTATCCCAACTTTATCTCTCCCAGTTGTCTCTTTCTTCCTTTTCATTTTGTAATTAGTAGATTAAACCATCCCAATCAAGTGGCATCTCAATTTTATATTCAGTCCTTCTAATTCATCACCCATTTGGTCTGGTTCTTTCTTTCCTTTTCATTCATGGACTTCTTAAGCAATTTATTCCCACTTAATTCAACTTTTATCCTGAGATACCCAATTTTCAATACACTGTAACAAAGTTATTAATGGTATGGCACAATGGCTCTGGGCAAAACTAGAGAAGCAGTTTCCTTTTCTTTCTTTTTTTTTTGTGATTTGTTTTTCAAGTTCCCAGTCTTTCTACAACCTTGGGATTTTCTAGTGGCCTGCATTCCAAGTATTGACCACAGCCAATACTGTTTATTTTTTCAAGATGAATCAAGATTGACTAGGTACTGCCACCACCTGTTGGAAGAACTGATTTTTTTTTTAAAAAAAAACTATCCCTTTTCATATTTTTATTTTTTTAAAACAATTTTTATTTGTTTTTGAACAAGGACAAACAAACTTAAAAAAGCATCTTCCATTACAAATTATAGAAAGTGTGTCAGTTGGTTACAGTATTTCCATGCATCTCTTCCATAGTCACCACCTGCTTTTCATGTCAAATCGCATATTTTAAATTCACCTGTTTTCATATATATCACAATTATTATATCTCAACCTTAATTTAAATTGTTTTATGTCCTTTTATATATAATATTCAAAATCTAGAATGGGATTATATGATAATCCATTAAATCATCCTAAAATCATCCAATCACAATACATATTTATAACATATTCTAGATAAAGCTTTTGAACCTCCTCTCATAATCTCTACATTGTTTATATAAAATTTCATATTATCAAGCATACATACATACATACATACATACACACACACACATATATGTATGTATGTATGTATGTATGCATGTATNAAGGCGTTGACTCATAGCTATCTGTGGTGGCCAGATATAGAGAAAGATATCACAGAGTAGGTAGCATTATGCCAAGCATGCCAGGAATCGAGACCGGCACCTCCTTCAGCGCCACCATGGGACTGTGAAACACCGAAAGGCCCCTGGTCTAGACTTCACATTGATTTTGTGAGACCAATAAATGGAATTGTTGTTGATGCGTATTCCAAATGGCTGGAGGTGGCCATGATGAGGTCAAATATGACAGATGCTGTAATCAGGGTATTAAACAAAATGTTTGCAACACATGGATTGTTGGATGTGTTGTTATCGGACAATGGGCCTCAATTTATGGCAACTGTATTCAAGGTATTCCTAGCAAATCAAGGAATACGTCATGTCCTTGTCGCGCCTTTTGACCCTGCAAGTAATGGATAATAGGGTGGTGATAGGGGGAGAAATTTTAGCCCCCTTAGAGAGGGTCTGTAATCTGGGCATCCTCCTGGATCTGCGGCTTAGTTTAGAAGAACACCTGACAGCCGTGACCAGGGGGGGCTTTTACCAGGTTCGCCTGGTACGTCAGTTGCACCCTTCCTGGATCAGGATGCTCTGTGCACAGTCACTCATGTATTACTAACTTATCAATTGCCGTGATTTACTTTTTTTTAATTGAAAATTTAAAAAAAATATTTTACAAATATTTATCTCCCTCCCCCACCCTCCCCACCCGAACTAATCTCCCCCCCCCAACCTCCCCCCAGCGACTTTCCAGAGCAAATACAGGGTATAAATCTTTAACAATCATATTCTAAAATAAACTAAAAATAACTTGGCTTCATCTTTCATTTGTGCTTTAACTCCTCTTTTGTTAAGCTAACTATAAACAAAATTGCCGTGATTTACTTAACAACTGTGGCCAGAGAGGTCATAAAAATGGGACAAAACTCACTTAACAATGTGTTGCTTTGCAGAGGAAATTTTGGACTCAATTAGGGTCATAAGACAACTACATATATATTCAAAAATTAATTGTGCTTTTTCTGCTTTTGATTTTTTTAGGTCATGCAAAGATTGTCCATGTTCTTTTAGAAAGAAACAAAGTTGGAACAATCCTTTCTGATAGTCAAGGTGCAACACCTTTACATTATGCAGCACAAAGTAACTTTTCTGTAAGTGAGATAAATGGTTTATTTAAAAATGTCGTCCTGAATTACATCAGATCTTTTATCAGTCTAGTTTTAAGGTTGTGTTAAGATTGCAAAGAAACACTATTTTTAAGTTGAAAGTAATATTTGCCATCATTTCATTTGTTCCAATGTTTTTTTTTTAATTAGAAAAATTTCTAAGAAAACTATGATATATTTAGAACATAGAATGGATGTATACAAGAAGATGCGGTAAGACATCCCCAAAACCCCTCAGGGTGTGTGTTTTGTTAAGATATAGACTGGCTTCTACTGTTGTTGTTAGTTGCAAAGTCATGTCTGACCCATTGTAACTCCATGGACAATGCTCCGCCAGGCCTTCCTGTCCTTTTCCTGTCCTCTACCATCCTCTGGAGTCTATTTAATCTCAGCCCTACTCCTTTAGTAACTCCATCCAGCCACCTCATTCTCTATCATCCCCTTCTTCTTTTGCCCTCAATCTTTCCCAGCATTATGCTCTTCTCCAATGAGTCCTACCTTCTCATTAGTTTGGCCAAACTATTTGAGTTTCATCGTCAAAATCTGGCCTTCTAAAGAGCAGTCAGGGTTGATCTCCTCTAGGACTGACCGGTTTAATCGCCTTGCAGTCCAAGGGACTTGTAGGAGTCTTCTCCAGCACTATAGTTCAAAGGCCTCTATTCTTTGGCACTCAGCCTTTCTTATGGTCCAACTTTCACAGCCATAGGTTGCAACTGGGAAAAACCATAGGCTTTTATTATTTTGTTGGTAGGATGTCGTCTCTATTTTTTAGTAAGCTGTCTAGATTTGCCATAGCTTTCCTCCTCAGGGGCAAGCGTCTTTTAATTTCTTTGCTGCAGTCCCCACGTGCAGTGACCTTGGAGCCCAGGAAAATAAAATCTGTCACTTCCTCCATTTCTTCCCCATCTATTTGCTAAGAATAGGACCAGATGCCATGATCTTAGTTTTCTTAATGTTGAGTTTCAATCCAACCTTTGCACTTTCCTTCTTCACCCGCATCAAGAGGTTCTTTAGTTCCTCCAACAATGGATTTCCTGTGCCCCATTGAACTGGACTCTATGGTTTCAGACTGGGACT